TATCAAAGAAAGGGAAAATATCGTAGTACATTCCTATACAACTGAAAAGAGGAGGAGAGGGAAGCGCCAAAAGCATGAAGCTGGTCGCTCCCCGGATGGCGTATTCGAGCGGTGCGATCGCCAATTTTGTTAGGGGAAAATTTTTCATTTTGCCGAATGGAATTCCTATTATGACAGAATCATAAATTAGCTCCTACAATTATTCTAACATATTAAAATAAAGGGGCATTAAAAGTGATTCTTAAAATTTTCGTTGGCGATTGAGCTATTGGTTATAAATATAGTTGTCTATTTTCTCCGGATTTTATTTTAAGTGCTAGCAAAACTTATATTTTATTCACTGTTAAATAAATTTAAGTTAAAATGTTCTTACTCAACATTATACCTAATCAATTTAACTATATATATATATAAACTATCTGATAATCAATGATGTGGTACTTAATAAATTTATGATGGCAGTTTAGAAATTAATTATAAAATCATCAAATAAGCATATTTTAAGTTTAATCTAGGAGTCTTAAACCTTTTGCAATCGCGGGAGCTACGCATGAGTCGGATTAAGGTAAATAAATTCAATAGCAGGAGGAATAGCAGTTCATATTAGTACTATAAGGCAGTGTTTCCCAAAGTATGGTACGCGTAACCCCAGGGGTACTTGAACAGTTTAGCGGGGGTACGCGTTCTTATGCGAAATATCTTGTAACAAACGAAAACTTCAAAATCTTTTATTTAAAAACAAAGCTAGCCATGAAAATTTACGATTATGTATTCTCCTATTGGTTATTTTTGTATTGGCAAAGTTAACAGTTAATAATTAGTGGTGTCAACAGCCAGTTGTGAATTTTAACTTTTATGCAATTTTTTTATATTAAAAAATACATTCGTTTTTTTATTAGTGGTACACAGCGTTACGAAAAATTTAGAAAGGGTACACAAAAGTCATAAGTTTGGGAAACACTGCTATAAGGTATTGAATATTTTCTGTTTTGGAATTTTGCTCTCCAATCTAATTAAGCTAATAACTGTTTCAACTGTAGATTCATACCGTGTTCGTGAATTCTCTTGATGGATGATGCAAAAAGCTATTATTATAAGCAAATTTGTATCTCTAAATAATTTGTGTTTCTGATGAAACTGGCTTGAATGTATTCGAAAATAAAAGTACCAAGACGAGTGATTGACTATGGCAAGATCTCTTAAGACAAAATTGTAAAATGCAAATTTGAAACTATACTTGAGTATATTTTTTTTACAGCTTTTTAAAAAAAGCCAAATGATAGTGTAATAATTTCATTTCTGTTCCTTAAAAAAAAGATAAAAATGAGAATAAAAAAATCTTATTAGTATCTTAAATGGTCACACTACATTATGGAAAGAAAAAAAAAGACTGCAATAGTTATTTTATTTGTTTCCTGCTGATTCCGACCACTAATATTTTTATACAATAAGTAGACTTAGTTGCCTATTTTTAATTAGAAGCCTCGATTGTCCACAGATAATTATTTTTTATTTTAAAATTCTTTGCTTTCCTTATCAATAAATAGAATAATTAAGAATTACATTAATTGATGAATAAAGAGGTAAAATATTCAGATTTTAAATAGAGACCCATTTCTAGCAAAAAGCCCAGATATTTGGAAATCCAGAGTTTTAAGAAATAGAAGTTTCTTATGTCAAGCAGAGTCACTGATTTATAAATCTGGGTATGCGTAAGGGGAATCAATTGAAAAACTAAGCAGTATAAATGTCACCAAAAGTTACTTTAGCACAAAAGTTTTAGAACTACTTGATTCCTTTTAACATAATTATTTGCATATAAAGTTAGTGAATATGACATTCATAAGTAGTAGAATTGCCCATGTATGTATACTAATACAATGAGCTTTAGCTGAACTCAAATTTAATATCAATAAATTTAATATCAAGTCTTTATAATAGCATTTTTTTAATAACTAATAAAATGAAGCATTAAAAAAAAAGATTCAGAAGCATAAAAATGCATATTAAAAAAAATAATAGGACAAAAATCTTTAATCTTATAAATTTATTTTAAGCCAATTCATACTTATAAATATTTGGATAAAAATTTATAAATTACTTGAATCATTTTTGAAGGGAACTTAAAATATTTAGTGTTAACTCAGAATATACTAATTAAAAGTATAAAGTAATATTATATTTTAAACCACAATATTTTGAATTATTGTTAAGATAGTGTTAATAATCACTATGGGACTATTATGGTAATGTAAGATACTAAAAATGAAGTCATTTGGAGCTTTCATTTTAATTCTAACATGAGTTACAAACAATATAAACAATAAATGGTTCCATTTCATCACTCCAGAAAAAAGCCTCATTATAGTTTGAATTACTTGATTAAATTGAAACATTTATAAAAAGAAATATTTTTACTGCAAATTTTTTACGTTCTTGGTTTATATATGTGTATTTGAGCAGTCCCTCACACAAAAAATTATTTATTTATTTTTAAAATTAAGAATTAACACAATCTGTTACAATAATGCAAATATTTAGAATACTATCACAAAAATTGTATGTATCTAACACAGTTTTTCATTTTTTTATTTAATAAATAAAAATGTTAATTATTGAAAGAATTTCGTCTAATGGTAGAAGTAATGCTCGGAACTTTCTTTAGTACCCATATTTGTTATAAGTTATCTTAGATACAAAAAAAAAAGATTACAAATTAAAGTGTGTTCTAGATTTCCTTGAATGATTAAAATAGAAAATTGATCACATCAAAAAATCAAAGAAATTTTAATAAAAAAAATTTAAACATTTTTTGACGTATAAGAACTTTCAGGATGTTTAACACAATAATGTTTGTGGAGTTCGCGATTTGTAAAATACTTTTTGTCACACAATTTACATTCACAATGTCTCTGGTTGCCGTGTATAGCCATATGCTCTTTAAGAAGAATTGCTCTTACAAAAGCTTTATTACAATATGTACACTTATTTTTCCTTATATCTAAATGTTGAGATATATGTTCTTTCAATTTTCGTGTCGCAGTTATATGCTTACTGCAAATTTCACATTTGAAAACAGATCTTGAATGACTACGAATATGACTTTGGTAGCCTTGCATTCTATTAAAAATTAGATTGGAAACATCACACTTTAATATTTTTTTCTTATTCTCAATGCAAGCATGTTTCAAAAACACATCTGGGCAACTGAATATTTTGTGACAAATTTCACAAGTAACTGAAAAAACTTCACTACTGGAGCTATTCGGATAAGGCGCATTGACTTCAGAAAATTGTAGCTGCTTAGATGAAACTACTTTGGTGTCATTTACATCAGTTTTATTGACTTTAATGTAATGCTTTTCAAAACATTCTTTATCATACCAGATCTTTTTACACACACCACATACATACTTTGTAGGATTTGTGACAAAGGTGTAGTATTTGCTTAAATCAAGGTCTGCTTTTGAATCTGTTTCCTTCATTTCCACTTGGTTACTTTCAATTTTATTTTCATGCGTCTTTGTGTGTTTAATAAAATTTGCTTTATTGGACAAATACAAATCACAAAAGGCACATTTGAGTCTTTTACATGTTGACTCGTGTTTTTTTACTCTGTTTTTGTTATCTCTCTTTTACAAATTGAACAACCCAAGCATTCATGCTTTGTGAAACTTAAGATTGTCTTAAAACTCCTTCTACAACGCCAACAACTAAGCAGGCGTTCTTTTCTGTGAAAATTATAAAGATGTTTTTTAAATTACTTTGAAGTAAAACGACAATTACAAATATCACACACATCCGTTTTACACTCGATTTTAAAGATGTCATATCTTTGACTACATTTATGAATTTTGAAGCAAACAATTGTACCGAAACTTTTTTTGTATTTACGACAACTAAGAATCTTTTTTTCATGTGATGTGCAAATATGACACAGGAATTCTTCATAATCATTAAAACCCTTATCACAAACATCACAGACATAACTATTTTCTGTTTGGATCTTTGTAGATACATCAATTTGCATCTGCTTTTCGTTTTTGAGGTGTTTAAAAATATTTTCTTGAAAAGTTTTGTGGTCCAAAACATAACCGAAACTTTTTTTGCAGGTAGAACGCCTCAGAAAATCTTCATTGCGTACTCTAGGAAAACGAGTTTGGATTCTGCGATCCTCCACAAAACTTTGGTCACAAATTTTAAAACCACGCTTTTCTTCTGGTTTATGGGTAACATAATGATGACATAAGCTGTACACACAGGTATAGTTTTTGTTACAAACTGGACAAACATATGGTTTTGTACACAAATGTAAGAAACTGTGAAGTATAAGCATCTGTTCCTCGTCATAGCATTTTCTACAAATTTCACAAGTAAAAAGCCGGTCATCACAGTTATGAGTTTCTAACTGTAACATGTCATCAAAAAGTTTATTACAGTCCTTGCAGGAAAATGACTGGTGGCGACTCTGTTTTAATCCAAAAGTATGTTTGACGAGACTGTGTTCAAAAATATATCCTTGATCACATGAATAGCATTTTAAAGGTTTTATTATATGGCTTAAATAATGCTTTTGTAAAAGATTAATATCTTGAGAGACTTGATCACAAACGGGACAGGATAAGGATATATCACTATGACAAAAACTATAAGCTACAAGATTATGCTTAAGTTCAAAACATTTTCCACAAATGTGACACCTATAATGAACAAGCTTTCACTTGTATGTTTTAGATTCATCACTTAACATGTCTGTTCCTGCCACAGATTGCGTTGTAAAGGAACCCATTTTAACAATTTGATCCTGTAAGTTAACTTCTTTCACAATAACAATCAGTGGATCAACAGCTTTAGAATGAGCATTAAACTGTAGACTTCCAAGTATTCTTCCACATACATGCATATTCAGCTGGGAGATCCCTATAAAAGTTCTATTACAGTTTGCACAAGAATAAGCTCCACTATCAATCGCAATTTTACAGTTATGAANAGCTACAAGATTATGCTTAAGTTTAAAACAAGAATAAGCTCCACTATCAATCGCAATTTTACAGTTATGAAGTTTAAATGAGGACATAGTTTGGAAAAGTTTTTTACAGTCACAACAATAAAATGGACAAAGACAATGGTGTTGGTAATGATTCTTAAGAACACCGAAATAAAAACAGTTTTTATTGTATACAATGCAAACAGCTCTAAAGTGAATCCTGTGAACTTTACTATAGTGCCTCATCAAATTTATTTTTGACCAACATTCAGAGCGACACAGTGGGCAAACTGGTTTGTTTCAGCCATTTTTACTCCTAATAGATTTAAAATTATCATTATTACTTAATTGCCTTTCATGCCAAAACAGAACAGTGATTTTATGGAATGTATGATAATGTTCAATAAGAATAAACTTTTTCTTAAAACTTTTAAAGCAATAATTACATGTGAGTAGTTATAAAATGTACCTTACATTCAGTTTTGGAATTAAAATTCCTTAAACAGTTATGACACTGAAATCTTTTCGTTTTATGATCTCTAAGTATATGAGCATTTAAAATAACTTTGAGATTAAAAAATTTTGAACAAAAGCTGCATTTGTAAGTGTTTTTAGAAAAGCGAGAACACAAATTTTTTTCGTAAAAGTGACAATCATTACTGATTTTCTCATTGTCTTTCAAGCTAAAAACATTTTCTACAACAACATTGCTAATTGTATCAAAAGATTCAGGGTCAATAAATTGATAGGGCTTAGAATATTTTGCCTTTTGCTTTCGAGAAATTAATGGCATATCGCAATATCCTGCATTATTGATATCATTTTCACTCTTGGAACAACTAAAAGTATCATTTTCAATTTTGATAACACAATCAGGCAGCATAACTTTGAAGTTATGCTGCCTAATGCTGAAACTAATGAACATTAGTTTCTAAACTAGAACAAAAATTCATATAATTTAGTTCCGGATTACTCTCTTGCATTGTTATACTTACAACACTTGTTGATGTAGAATCATTCTCAACTAATCTATACAAATCCAGTTTCATATCACTTGTTGATGTAGAATCATTATCTACTAATCTATGCAAATCCCGCTTCATAGCACTTGTTAATGCAGAATCATTCTCAACTAATCTATGCAAATCCAGTTTCAAAGCACTTGTTGATGTAGAATCATTCTCCACTAATCTCTGCAAATCCAGTTTCATAGCACTTGTTGATGTAGATTCATTTTCTGTTGATCTATATAAATTACTAGAAGTGATACTCACAGGATTTTCTGGTGCATACAAAAGAGCAGGGCTCTGTAGATTAATTTCTGTAGAATTATCCTTTAAAATTTCAGAAGTTGAATTTAAAAGGTTTCTATGCGTTAATGAATCATCCATAGGAATTTCGTTTTTTATTTCCCATGAAGGAGGATTGATTTGATTAAGATGCGATGGAATGAGTGAATTATCAATACGACTACAAGCTGGTGTAGGATTAAGATGAAATGGAAAGAATGAATTACGAATCTGAGAACGATTGGGCATATGATTAAAATGTGATAAATTATCTATATAACCATAAAGAGGTGTAACATTTCTAATTATACTTCGATAAAATTGGTTACTGGTGGACGAGTTAGGATTTTCTCCCAGGTTTATTTTACGAATTGACTCAAAATTATACATTTTATTGCTTGCAGAGAGACTTCGAAGCTTTCCAGACTGCTGGAATTAAAATAACCTTTCAAAATATTACGTTAAAAAAGAAATTTATCTCCACTGGGCAAAATTAGGCTTGGATAATAATTATGTCTACGATTTAAAAAATAACTTTGAATATTCACGTCACATCGAATTTATAACATCTGAAATTAAACAGTTCAATAATATCCTGTGAAAAAATAGCGATAAGTTGACCATCATGCCAACGCTAAATGATTGTAGTTCAGTCGAATTTGAATTTTTAAGTCACGTGTTCTATTGCTTTTAAACAAACATCAAATATTCGTCAGTAGTGAAATTGGTGAGAAACAATATCAATTTAACACAATTTTAGTAAAAATTAAAATAATAAATGCTGGGCATTGATGCACATTGTTTAAATAAAATAGAATTAAAGATTCAATGCATTGCTTTTTGATAAACAAACAAGCGATAAAATCGAGCACTTGATAAACTTAAGTTTGATATAGAAATTTTAAATATCTTTAACCTAACTTTCTAGAATATTTTATTCGAAAGTTAGTCTATAGTGCTGCCATCTTGTTTATGATACAACAAGTAAACTGCTGTGGCACAGCTGAGACAGATAGACTTGTTTACTTGTTTTGATTAAAGATATAAATAATTTGGAAATTCGAATTTAAATTCCGATCATAATAACATAAAAAATATAACGTTACAATGAAAAGAATTTTATTGTCTAAAAAAACAGACGTCCAAGATAGGGAAGTTTGAAAGATAAGATAGACTAGCATGGATGGGGCTATTTAATTATTAATTTTTACATTTATAGCTAAAGAAATGTAAAGTTTACCGCTCATGCGTTTGTAAAAAAAAGAAAAAAGAAAACTTAACCCTAACTAGTTTAAAGTTACAACCCTAGTCAAAAATGAAGCAAAAATTTATACATATTAAAGTTTGGAGAGTAATAAAGTAAAAAGGTTATTAAATATTAGAATATAAAAAGTGGACAAATGTCTCGAGAAATACGCATCGGATCAAAAAGTGAAACTAGACGCATTCAATATTTTTCAAAAGCTTTCCAATGGTGTCAAATTCGATCTTTCATCCCTCCCTCCGGAGGGGTGTCGGGGGCAACGATGAAATCTTAAATATGAGCCCCAAAGTTTTATTGCAGTTTTGAATTCTCCAGAAAAAAGTAGCCCTATTTGAGTTGAAGGTTTATGCATTTTACTTTAAAGGGAGTGCTGTAACCAAGAAAAATTAAATAGGGTACAAGCTGTTTAAAAAAAGCGAATATCGAAACGATCAGATTAAGTTCATCATTTTAATCAGTTTATAGCGAGATCCATTAGATTAATAAGAAGATAAAAATAGGTATATAAAAAAATTTATCAATTTTTTCAGTTTATGTTTTTTCTTTTTGAAATAAAGTACAGAAATATTTTTAGTTTCCGTTATTTTTATTTTCAATTTGATAAATCTCGCTCGAGTTACTACCATTATAAACAGTTTGCAAATTCTTAAACTTTTCTCGTTTACACTGCCATATGGGGAACAAAATGCATAAGCCTATAACTCACAGAGGGTTACTTTCTTAGAGAATCTGTAATCACAATTAGAGGCTCATGTTTAAGATTTCAAAACCCCCAACACACCCCTGATGATGCCCTGGGGGTGAGGTGAAGCAACAACAAGTAACTGTGACAAGTGGTCAAGCTAGAAAAGTCTTTTTTTCCAGTCGGATTTTTGCTAGATTTTGCTTTTTAACACTGAGTAGTGTACAATATTCTTGTTTTCAAGTAAATGGATTTTCAATACAAAGTTCATTTTTATGCGATAGAATGCTCTGCTCTATTCTTAAACAGAAAGATTTGTTTGATAAAAGTGAATACACATAACAAAAATGTGGAATCAATAATATGAATAACAAGATATGCATAAGAATAGCATGAGTGAATAAATAACAGGAAGGAAAAAAAACAGCGATAGTCTGTCCTCTTTAGCATTTTGCCTACGGCGTATAACAGTATCAGTTGTACCAGCATAGGTCTGCCGTTGTATCAGCCATAGTAAAGGGTTAAGAGTTCATCACTAAAGAAAAACAGAACTTACCCACGTTTCACTTTAGGATACTATTATTCATATAGACATTATATTAAGGAGACATAAAATTTAAACCACGTTATACCTCAACACGATTTGACAAAACTAACCAGAAGTTAAAACCACCAAAAGAGAGAATGAAAGAACATGGTAATTTAAAACTTAAACTAAATTACACGTTGCTATGATATAATACACCATCTGGTCAAAAATATCTGGACATCTATCGGTACGGATCAAAAATGAGATGGGTTCATCTGACGCGGCCTTTGAGTTTAAGCGTGCTCGGGCTCATGACAAAGTTTTCATATAATTCCATACTGCTTTCAAGCTAAACAAATAATATAATTCCGTTTGGTTTAGTAAAGTTTATAAAATTTATTTTTAAAACTATAATTTGTAAAAATTCAAGTATATTATCTCTTGATCTGTAAATAAATGATCTCAATAACGCCCTTTGTCTTATTTTTTCACCAATATTACCTTTATACATTCGCGAATCACCAGCTCTATAGGACGACATATTAAATTTCGGTCTCGGCTCAGATTTTATCCCAGATAGCAAAAAAAGGTTTATTTTAACTCAGCAAAAAGCTTTTGATGTAAACCTAAAAAGGTTTGTAATGCGGTTTGCGTGTAAACCTTCTAATCTTAAAACGAGATCTGCTCTATTCTACGCGCATTACCCTAATTCAAAACCTTTGAAAACATCCTTCGATATAAAAACCTTAAATCGAGATTGACTTAGGGATTTCAAGCTTGAAAACATCCTTTTATAAAGCTAGTCTCAGGGTGAAAATAACCTTAAATATATAGGTAATTATAAGGTTTCTATTCTCAAAGTCTCGTATGCTCAGCTAAAATCCACCTTGTCGTGAAATTTTAATGGACGATGCAATTTGATCTTATCGCTAATGTGACGTCATTTAAAACGTCACTATGGACGTAAGTAACCCTTTTGCCTAAGTGGCAATACTTTTTTTAAAAAAAGTTTTAAAAAATAATTTTTAATCCTTTTAGGATGAAAGGTTTGAAACTGCAATGTTTTTGCTTTATTGAAAAAATGTTTTTAGTAGAAGCATTTTTGTAAGAGTAAAAAGAAAATTATAACACATGGTTGGCGTAAGGTTACATGTTTTCTGAGTATTGATCTCGATTTCGGATTGAAAAGCCTCGATTACAGCCTGCACACGTCTGGGGAGACTTTCCACCAGGTTCCATGAGTGGCCATTGGAATTGACCTCTAGGCGTCCATGAAAACTGAAGTGTTGGATGGCAGGCAGTAGGTTCGATTTCATTAGCTACATAATCTGCATTCTATTTCGCTTAAAATGTGTACTATTGAATTTAAATGGAGACTATGAAGAGACAACCCAGTTTTTGAAGACCCATTTTGTCAAACCATGACCATGGCTGCGTGAAACTTGACGTGTGAATAGAGCAATTTATACTGCTGAGAAATAAATGAGATGCGGTGACCTGCCTACTACAACTCAACACTGCCAGTCCGGCATCCTCTAGCAACGAGAAACATGTTTTATTTTCTCTTTTTTAATCCCTCTTCTAATTTTGTATATATACCTATATTAAGGATTTACTTTTATTATCACCGATGCTTGTTCAACTATACTTTATTTATTATTATTCAAAAATGCTTATTAAATAAATTTTAATAAAAATGGCGTGTCCAGTTATTTCGCTCAAAAATTGTACCTCCACATGGGCCTTTCTCAAAATATTGCCATGGAGCTGAGAGAGCTCCACATACATCTCAGCTCATGCTTCTAACCACAGAAACTAAGGGATCATGAAAAACAGTCTCACACCATAACAGAACCACCGGTCAGATCCACTTTTTTAGGTGGATAGGCGGATGCTTTTCGCCACTAATATCATTAAATTTAAAGTGGAACATTTGAATTAGGTTATTTAAATTATGATTGATGGTGATAAGTTCCTGCACAAAACAATTGAGATGATAACTCTCTTCTAATTAAAAAGACAAAAATCTACTTTACAGTTACGCTCAGTTAGTGCTCTGGCGGTAATATTTCAGTACTGTTTCTTTCTGTGCCAAAAATTCTGCTTTTAAAAACATAGAAAAGAAAATTATTTATATTCTAAGATATTTCCACAATTGTTAAACATATTATTGTAGTCTTTCAGTCTACTAGATCAAGAAGAGGATCAGGAAGATGAAGGTAGATATGCGTTCGGTTTAGTTCAAGAGTGTTACATTCATAAACTAAGCTAGTCATTTCAGTCTGGATCAATAAGAGGATCTGGAAGATGAAGGTAGATATGCGTTCGGTTTAGTTCAAGAGTGTTACATTCGTAAACTAAGCTAGTCATTTCAGTCTGGATCAAGAAGAGGATCTGAAAGATGAAGGTAGATATGCATTCGGTTTAGTTCATTCGTAAACTAAGCTAGTCATTTCAGTCTGGATCCAGAAGATGAGGATGGAGACATATGTATTCAGTCCAGATCACATGTCTATGAAACAAACTATTCAGTCCAGTCTGGATCAAGAAGATGCCAAAGAAATATCTGCAAAGACTTCTACAAACGAATTTATAGCAAAGGCGAAGAACAGCAGTCCTCCAAATATCGTCACTGAAAAATAGATCGTTATTGTTGATTAAACAGCTTAATTTGCAATGAGTTACATTACTTTTTGTTCTATCATCTATCTATACATATAATAAAATAAAGAATTTGTGTGCGTGTCTGTATATTGGATTGCAAATGCACCGTAAGCTCCAAAAACACAATATTCAACTTGAAGCTAAATGAGTTCAATAGTAAAAAAAATACGGAGACCGATATTTTATTTTTTTTATTTTATCTTTAATACAGATATATTTAAAAAATGAAATTATCTCATTGGCTCAGCGGAAACCATTGTTTTAATTTATTTTTATTTGATTTATTGAAATTACATACATTTGCTGACTTGTGTGCTCAATATATAGGCTTATAAGTCATTGTCAAGTAGAAAATACAGATAGAACAATTTAGAGAAAGACATCACAAAGAATACATCCAGGGTTACGGCGGGATTCGAACCCGCTACCTCCACGCTTAACAGAGCTCATTGTTTTAAAGTAAACTATGAACAGTCAGTTTTGTCAATGTTTTAAAGGTAACACAGTGAAACTTGCTAGCTTATAGCTCTAATCGAAAAAGCTGTTTATTGCTCGTTCTTTAGTACTTAATTATTTTTTTATTTGTAATGTTTTGCTAGGTTATCTTAAGGCTCTTATACTACCTTAATTCAGGGGCTCTAGGTAATCTGGATGATCTTGGTAGCATAGGTGGAATACGTCACCAAATCAACATTTCTAAAATTATCTGAAATCACGTGTTTATTTTGTTTATAGTTAAGCTTTTAAAACGTGTTCCTATAAAACAAAATAATTTAAAATGAACAGTAATTGAAATATAAAGACGAATATACATGACGGTTGACATTGTTGGTAGCATTCTCCCACATTGGTGACCCGAACGTGACACGCCTACTTCGATTGAAAACGCCCACTTCGATTTGAACACTAGTTCGATGGGTGGTATTCAGTGAACAGTTGACTTGCTGCTTGTGACTGCGACATTGTCCTTCTCGCGTCGTTGCTACTCAGTCTCGATCACACGCAATGGGAGCCTGTACATATTTGGCTGCTAATAGCAGCACAGGAGCAACCACACCCACAACCTTGGTCTTAATACAGCTCTCACGAACAGCTCTCTAAGTCCGGTGAACTTAATACAGCTCTTCCAGCCTCACTCAAAAAGGGCAATGAATCAACTAGTGGTATACATTCATCGAATTTTATCGCAGATTAAATTCTGGTGGGGGAGTAATGTTGCGTAGCTACCACTACAACTATTCAATTCTCATTCACTAGTATATAAGGTCTGTTAACTCGATTCTATGACGTTAGAAAACCATTACATTATATTTTATTATAGACGTGAATATTTATGAAGAAATACCTGAATATTTATGAAGAAATACCTGCCGTATAATTATTGTTTTATACTAGTTATACATCTAGACATATATCACATTTATTGTTTAATTTAATTGATGCTCTTTTAAGGTAATATTTACTAAACTTTTAAATACATTGATTTGTTACATGTTATAGTTATTCAAGTTTTGAGAGAATGTTTTATTTTCAAGTAATACAAACCTGCTCTAAGAGATATACGATCCGATATTACTTTTCCACCAATCACAGCTGCCAGAGTACAAGCTGCGTGAGCCACAATTGCCCCAAATAAAACACCGATCACACTCTGTAAGAAGATACATTTATTTATCTCTTCATCTGTACCGATGTAATTAAAGAGATTTGTTAAAAAAGGTACAAAGTGACATTTTAGTGAATTTAGTAACATCAGCTTTAGAAAATACAGTAACAGCACGAAGTTGTTCGCTAAATAATTTTCCCAATTAAGGATTGTTTTCAAAGCTCATGGTATAAGATATTTTAGATAAAGTTATTTTAGGAAGTTAATTTTTGGTAACTATTAGGAGTTTTAACCTTTTTCTTCTCGCTCCCGTGGAAATGACGGGGTGAGGCTTCGCCCCTATTTTTCGCTCCCGTGATATTTCCAGGCTGGAGTGTTAAGTAGTAACGTGTCAATAAGAATAAATCAAATTCAGTTCTTATGCCCGGAAAAAAATTTATTTCTCATTTTACACACCAGATGGCAGCACCAGGATATTTTTAAGGTAATTGTAGATAGTTAGTTTATTTTAAACTTGATGCCACCACTAATCATATAGCACTAATTAAAAAAATAGGCACTTTTACGACCGTTTTCTTGAAAATTAACCGATTGTTAAGGGGTTAAACAGCTATTCATAATTGCTGTTGGAATCGCGATTGCTCCTGAGATTGAGCGTTAGCCTCCTAACGAGGTAATCCAGGTTCGAATACCAGCAGCGGCTGGTTGCTACAAACTCTGATCCTGGCTCTCACTGACGTAAAATATCCTCAGTGGTAGACTGTTCAACGCCAGTTATAAAATAAAACAGAACTGCTCGTTTGAACAACGATGGCCAAGGTAATAAAGCGTTTATCTGCCTATACTGTGACCCAGATTCGAATCAAAGTGGTCGCTATTCGATGCGAATTATGCACCCGGTTCACACCGACTGCAGTGCTGTTGTAAAATCGCAGTAGTAGACGGGGATCACGGGTTTGAAGCCCCTTGCTATCGGGCTAACCGTTAGGTTTCTTCGTGAATGGCATCTCCATGTAAGATAAATGAGCGTCAGTTCCATTTTAAAGTACTACTCTACGAAGGACAGTTTGCCGCATTGCTTGACCGTGGAGTTTCTTTTTGTACTCGATCTTCGATTCAAAATAAAAATGCTAAAAAGTGGAACTAAGCAGTCCATGTTCCCTTAACAAATCATACCTCGGGGGGTACTGATCCAGGAGTTTCCTTGTCTTCTGGATTGGGTTCAAAAATACAAGGCTACGGAGTTGAACATTATTAAAAAATTAGGTCTGCTGTTCAACGACGGTTATAAAAAAAATGACCAAACTTGAGAAAAATCGAATCAAAAGTTATTGAGATACAAAACGTTTAAGACACAACGTTTCTGAAATTTTCTCAGAAACTAAGGTTACGTTATCGGCATGTTTATTCAGGGAAACTAAGATTTTTTCAAAAAATCTTATTTCGTAATTCAATATATCGTATGCACATATTTGAACTATTAAGATTTTCTATTAGTACTCAAGAATCCGAATATTAAACTAAATGTTATTTAACTGTTGCAATTTTTTAGCATGAGCATGCCGGGGTTACTTACTTCCTTTGCGGCTAAAACAACTGTAGCTATTTGTGATCTGTCTCCCCATTCGGCTAAGAAAGTCATTATAAATGCTTCCACAAATACCCATCTTGTAGATGATTTGCGAATGCCGGCTTCCACGTCTTTTTCTTTGACCTAGAATTACATACGAATTACTTTTTCTTCTTTTCCTTATTTTTTAGAGAATATTACAATTAATGTGAGTCATGGTGGCTCAGGGGATAGAGCGCTCGTCCACTAATGAGGTTTGGGTTCGTTTCCCAGCGATGACTGGTAGATATGAATTTTGCACATGGCTCTCACTGGCCACAGTGTTGACGAAATATAATCAGTGGTAAGCGGATCATGGTTTAGAATCCTCTAGCCATCGGGGTGACCCTAGGAGACTTTCGCCTCCATGTTACGCAAATGAGGGTAGTCCCACTGTTTGATCTAGGAGTTTCATTTTATTTTATATTATAACTCCGTTGAACAACCGACTCAATTTTATGGGTTTACGACTACTAATGTTCAACTCCGTATCCTTGTAATTTTGAACCCAATCCAGAAGACAAGGGAACTCCTGGATCGAGTATTGGGAGAAATTTGCCTTCGTTTAGGACTTTTTTGATGGAGATAACCGGCATTTTCGTTACATGGAGAGGAAGATCACGAGAACCTCCCACGGTTAGCCTGATTGTAAGGGGACTCTGACCCATGATCCGTCTACCACTGAGGATTTTTCACGTCAACACTGTGGTCGGTGCAAGCCGACAGGAGTTCTATTGTCTTCCAGGCTTGGTTCAAAATTGCAAGGCTACTGAGTTGAACATAGAATAGTCGTAAATTCTGAATTGGAACTACTGTTCAACGCCGGTAATAAAATAAACGGTTTTCTAAAAACGACTTTCTTTTAAGGAAACACCTTTCTTTATTTATTTTTTCATACTATACTTTATACTCTTTCATACTTTATTTATTTCCCTTGATATCAAGAACGCTTTCGGAACAGCTAGATGGGATAGCTTGAAAAAAATATTAAATCAGCTCAATGTCCCCAAAAATTTATTGTCATTGTTTTTCGGCTTTTTAGATAACCGTACTGTTACTTTTGAGGACGGTGGTAGTTCCATACTTATACAAAAAGATTTTAATATGGGGGTTCCTCAGGGATCCTCACTGGGGCNGAAAATAGGGAAATTTTCATACGCTCAAATTGTGTTTCTTTTTTCCTTTTGTACCCAAATGCGGGTTTGTTTTCTGCCAAACACATGTCATTTTTATCTCATATAGCCTACTATGTCTGTCGATAATGTATAAATCATTCAAACATTTCTTCAGGTGCAAGATCAACCCACAAAATCAATATCCTTTAATTGTTTTGAGTTATGTATTTTAGATAATGGTACAATAGAAATATTTCAGTGGTATAAATACCCCTGTACAATTCCCTTTTATAATACTTAATAAAGTATGGTTGAAAACGTATACACATTAGATTTTGCACATTAATATTAAGCTTGGAATATCAAAATTTAACAAATCACTACTGAGGAGACTGAAAATATAAAAATTTCTTTGATTGCCGAATTATAATAGATGATTTTAAAGGTAAATATTAGAAACATCTCCAAAATTTATCAGACAACCAAATTGGTTTTGATGTTGTCACACCGTCTCCCTCACAATTATTACGATAAATTTTGATGGCTCTTTTATTTCTCTTCCTAAATATTAATTTGCTATACCTGAAGTATAAAAAATTTTAACTTCCTTTTTGAAAAGAATGTTTGATTTTTAATTTTTTATTTTGTTTAATTTTTTTGCAGAACACTTCTTAAGAGACGCCTAAGAACTTTTCAAAATTGAAGTTATTGAAACTAATATATTGGAGGTCTCAAATTAAAATTTAATTGACAAAAATAAAAACTCTGAGAGAATCTGACAAATTATTATCGAGATACACCAGGACAGAGGCGACATTAAAGTAAGAAAAAAGTCTAAATTATTTCTTGGATAAGCTGAAAAAAGAGTTCCTAAAGAAAGGCGACCATCTTTCAGTTCGATCGGGCAAATAAACTGGTTTTATGTAAGTTAAATACACCAGTGAAAGTCTTACTGATCTCGATTATGTATCACCATATTCTGATTGTTTTGGTTCACATAAATATTAATTTGTTGAATCTATTGTTTTAATTTTTGACTACAGTTCTCTGTAATCACTGGCCTTAATTAATACTAATAAATATATTTTGTCTGAAATGAAATTAAAAAGCGTAAACATAATGTATAAACATTTCAGAATTCAAATTTACTGCTCAGACATTTCCAAGAATGTTACTATAATCTTGATCGAAAATAAATTAATGAANTTAATTTTTGACTACAGTTCTCTGTAATCACTGGCCTTAATTAATACTAATAAATATATTTTGTCTAAAATGAAATTAAAAAGCGTAAACATAATGTATTCATATTTATCCATTTCAGAATCCATTCATCATGTATATCCATTTCAGAATTCAAATTTACTGCTCAGACATTTCCAAGAATGTTACTATAATCTTGATCGAAAATAAATTAATGAATAATCTTACCTTACTTGACATTTTAATGTCAACTGTTCGCTGCACTTCTTCTAATTCCTCCTTCCCTGAAGAACTATTCATTTTGCATCCTATTCAGAATAACAATTATTTGCAAATCAATATTATTTGTTAAAATACATTACCCTACAATAACAGAAGTGACACTTTCAGTTTTCGACATTTTTTTTAAATTTTTCAAGAAATACTTCGAGGACAAATTTGTAATTTGAGAAGTGTTTGATTCACACTTTGCAATAAAGTTTAAAGCTTTCAGGGGTTTTAGAGACCGACAGTAAATTATAAAGGAGAACAAATATTATCACCCATTCCAGAAAATCAAGTAATAAGCTTATAACTTGTAATCGATTACTTGTTATTTGCAATGTTGTTATTGCAATTTTCTGTTTACTTACTTGTACTGTTGTTGCAATGATTGCATAAAATTTCTTAAATCTAGCTTAAATATTTATGGAGATATGAACATTTTTATAAAAAACGATTTTTTTTTTTTGTCTCATGTTGTTTTTGCTATAGCTTCGAAAATATTTAGTATTATTAAACAAAATTTTTATGGCAATTAAAAATTAATTACTAGTTTGCAAAAATCTGATCATTAGATCAGAAGTTATTCAAAGTTTTCGGTCTTCTTTGCGTACTGTACATTTCACGAACATTTTAATCCGTGTTATTATTGCTTAAAAATATTTTTTTATATCATTTAAATGTTTTCATAATCTTTTTATGTTTTTTTTCTTTTTTAATTTATGTTTTTTTCTTTTATTAAACATATTAAGCTGTTCGAATTTCTTGCATAAATTTTATGCGTAAATTTTGTACAATTTGGTCGTTTTACCAAGAATTGACGAATTGCGGCGCCCCTCAAATTTGTCGATAACTCTCAAGGCTATTCAGAACGGAAAAAAAAAATTCTTTATAAATTCAATTAAACTCACAGTATTTCAGAAAACAACAAAAATATATTTCATTTAAAAAAATTATTAACAATTTTTTAATTATTTCTAAATGTAACGTAAATCTCTTTTTATGTGATTCGCAGTAATGTTTTTTAAAGCATGAAGGTCGAGAGATAGAATTAACATTGCTCAAAACCAATCGTCTGGAGTGAAAATAAAGGTTATTTCAAAAAAGGATTCAATTAAAAAGGATCAAAGGTATTAAAAGATTCAATTTTATTATTAACTGTGATTAAAATGCAAAAAAAAATAATTAACAATACTTATACAGTCGGGCCTCTATTTAACGAAGTAGCTAAATCCCGATAATAAGTTCGTCATATGGAAAATTCGTTGAATAGAAAATCCCCTTTTAAAATACTTAAGCAACACAAAACAGGTTTTAAATTCATAAGCACTAGACATAATTATTAAAATAGCAATTGATGTACTTTTATCTTGTAAACTAGCATCTATTTATTTTATAAATTTTAATCATAAAAGAAATCTGCATGGAAAGCAAGAATAGAGCAAAACATTATCCAGTGTTACGCTATCATGTTATATACATTTTCAACTAAGAAAAGCCTAAATTTAAGTATGAAATTATAGTTTCATTTATTATAAACGTAATTTTAAACATACATTACCACATTCGTTCTTAAGTTTAATTGCTATACTTATAAAATCCGTTTGAGATGCAAGCAAAAAGGAAAAGGGAATTTACTGCTTTCTCTAAGATAATTTTTAGAGAAAACAGTAATACATTTCTTAGAGCAGTGGCTTCGAAAATTAATTCAAGGCCATTTCCCCCATAAAATGCGTTAACAAGTTTGAAATATTTTGGAAAATAGGGAAAGTGGATCTCAATGAAAAGTTCGCTAAATATAAAATTCACTTCCTTATTTGGAAGTTATTTTACGAAGAAATTTCCAAAATCTTCTCGGTTCCTCGAAAAAATTCGTAAAATAGAGAAATTCGTAAAATGGAAGTTCGTTAAATNTCGTTAAATAGAGAAATTCACTTCCTTATTTGGAAGTTATTTTACGAAGAAATTTCCAAAATCTTCTCGGTTCCTCGAAAAAATTCGTAAAATAGAGAAATTCGTAAAATGGAAGTTCGTTAAATAGAAGTCCGACTGTATTATTATTTTAGCAGTCTATATGAACTCAGCAAATATTTTCAGAAACGACGTTGTAATATGTTGTGCTCACTTCAATTAATCAATTAAATCACTCGATATTCCTTTCTTTTTCTTTTTTTTTTCAATTTTAGTTCCTTTTTTTCTTCAATTTTTGTTTCGTTTTTTTTTTCTTCAAATTTTTGTTTCTGTTTTTTGTGTGATTGTAAAGTAAAATTAAATAATAAAATAATAATAAAAACTAATAAAGAATCTCTCCAAAAATTATTTGTCCCGCAGTGGACTGATCGTTAAGACACGGTTCCCAGCAGATCACCGATTTCAAGCATCACTGTCTGTGGTCAGTGTGCGGGTGGGTGACCACTTGGATGAGTCTGCGTAGGGACCGAGGGTGTGCGGTATTGGTCCTCGTTAAACTGTTCTGCCGTAAAGTGCTCGACTTCGCGTGCAGGTCGTCGGGCTACCGAAGCGGAGGTGCCATCCCCTCGGCAGAGGATCAAAATTGTGATGGCATGTCTTCGGATCATCCTCAGAGATGTTTCCCAGGCCGTCGCCAATAGCCCATTGTGCAGCTCTAGTGCGACGTAAATTAACAACCAACCAACCAATCCAAAAATTATTTTAAAAAATCAGTTCTTCCTCAACAAAGTCACAGTTAAAAATGTTCTGCGCTTATTAATTATTTTGTGATAGTATGGAGCATGCACTGTCTTGCCAAAAGCTTCCGGACACCTAGTGGTATCGACAAGACGAGTCCTGCTTTGAGGCATATTACCAGAATGTTGATCCCGTTTTTGCCTGTATGGCAGATTGAGTCGTCCTTCCAATAAGGTGAATCGGGTTTCGATCCCGGCGATTGCTGGGTTGATACGAATTCCGCATCCGGCTTGCACTGACCACAGTGCTGACGTGAAATATACTGACCACAGTGCTGACGTGAAATATCCTCAGTGGTAGACGGATTATGGGTTAGACCAGTGGTTCCCAACCTTTTCTGGACCATCGCCCCCTCTTGTGGTTGGCTGACACACATCGCCCCTTTTTCTTTTTGCTCAAAAACCATTCTTTGCTGCTTGTGAGCAACCGAACGCTAAGTTATATTTGCTTTTAATTTAAAATGTAATGCAAATAAGGAGGCAATTTTATCCTGCCATTTTTATTAATTAAAAAAAAATGCGCATCTTTTTTTTGAGAAAGAAATTATATTTAAAACGGAATAATCAAAACAAAAGTACATTTTTTAAAATTCATATTTTAATGTAATCAAGAAAAAGTTAAAACGTTAGCAACTAAAATTTGAGAAAAAAATGAAGAGTGAGAAAGTACATTTTTACCACTTCAATGACTGCCCTGTGCTTGGTGTATTTCAGTTAAAGCTTGAATGTCAGGTTTTATGTTCGTCAGATTTAAACGCAGGTCTCCTTTGAAGCAAATGTCCAACCTATTTCTTTGCTTTGTGAGGAGCTGGACGACAGAACTAAATCCTCTCTCCACTAAATTTGTTGACGGTAATGACGAGATGAGGAGCGGCTCAGTTTGTTTCCACAATTGTGGATAAGTGTCCATAAGCTTTACCCAAGCTAACTCGTAACCGTATTTTTTAAAGACGACTTTAGCATACTTCAAATCTAAAAACTCAGTCTGCAAAGAGGAAGTGAGCTTATCCACAACTTCAAAAGAGAAAGGATCGAAAATCCAATCCGGAATTTCTAATTTCATCAAATCTTTAAATCTTGATTCCATAACTGATCAAGGTGATCAGTAAAAATTAAGATTTTATTTTCGAGAATCTCGATATCTGCCATTGAACACTTTTTAAGAGTTGGAAATTGCATTAGCTCTTTGCGACCAATGTTTGACTTGTAGATATCAAACTTGGCGATGAATGAAGATATGATTCCCTTAGCCTTGATAATGTTCATTTTATTTCCTTGAAGTTTTACGTTGATTTCCTTCATTTTTTCAAAAATATCCGTGAGGTACGCAGTTTCTAACTTGCGTTGCTTTAAACTCTCACTTAAAACGGGATCAGTGGTGTCGAGAAACTCAGTAACCGAGTCAACGATTCGAAAAAACGACGCAAACAGTTTCCTTTTGAAAGCCATCTCACATCTGTATGTAGGAGCAAGCATTCGAAATCTTCATCATTTTCACGGCAAAGTTCTCAGAACAAACGGTCATTGAGAGAATCAGCTTTGATTTTATTGATGCCAAAAATAACGAATTGTAAAGTGTCATGCAGGGCACCACTTAACTTTTTTGCAGAAAAATGTTGACAATGAATGGTGATGACCACCAGTACTTCTTTTTCAAGGTACACTAGAAGCCCAGTATGACGACCAGACATGGCAGGAGCACCATCTGTCGCACAAGCACTTACATTTGTAAGGGGAATTTTTTTTCTCCACAAAATAGTCTTTGACCAATTTAAAAGTCTACGAACATTTTTTATCAGTGATCAAAGTTCTTGTAAGCAACATTTCCCCGTTCATCCAATCTCCTAACTCTCATTTATGAATCTCGCGTAAGCTAATACAATAGCTTTGTTATCTATCTCAATTGAGTCATCAATCTGCAACTCAAATTTACCTTCTCTCATAAATTTGATGAGTTTTGATTCAACGCCTGCGGTCATCTCATCAATAAGCGTGGAAGCAGTATTATTGCTCAGAGGTTTTATTTTATGGCTCGATCCCTCACCCAACATGATTTCAAATTTTTTTTTAGTAGCAGGTAAAATAAGAGTTTACCAATTGTGTGAGGTTTAGAGTTATATAAATGTTTCGTCTATCAATTCGTTTCTTCTATTACATGCCTTTTAAAATCGGAGGGATGGGAATGAGACGAGAGAGGAACATTTGAGGAGAAGAAGGTATATAAAAGACCATGACTTTCAACAAAAGAGAATTCTTGAACGTCAGATTTCCGCCAGCAATACCAAAACGTATGACGAAAACGATCCTAAACTTGAAATTTTTTAATTTTTAACTATCGTAATTCTTCATCCACACCAGAACCATAAGCTTCATATATGTTTTCAATTTCGATCTCAAATAACTTTTGTCATTAATATTATTAGCAATTTTTATCTTTGGAACACTCGTCGCCCCCCGATCGCCCCCCCTAAGGATTATCGCCCCCATGAGGAGCTCTATCGCCCCCAGGTTGGGAACCACTGGGTTAGACTCTCCTTGTCTTCAGACTAACCGTGGGAGGCTCTCGTGGTCTTCCTCTCCATGGAACAAAAAGGCGGATTAGTTCTATCAAAAAGTCCTCCACGAAGCAAATTTCATCCAATACTTGATCCAGTAGTTCCCTTGTCTTCTGGATTGGGTTCAAAATAACAAGCCTACGGAGTTGAACAAGTCGTAAGCCCAAAAATTGAGTCGGCTGTTCAACGACGGTTATGGCTGATTATGGCTGGTCGATACGAATTCCGCATCTGGCTTGCACCGACCACAGTGCTGACGTGAAATATCCTCAGTGGTAGACAGATCACCCGTTAGAGTCCCCTTGCAGTCAGGCTAGCCGTGCTAGGTTTTCCTCTCCTTGTAACGCAAATGCTGGTTAGTTCCATCAAAAAGTCCTCAACGAAAGCAAATTTCACCCACTACTTGATCCAAGAGTTCCCTTGTCTTCCGGATTGGGTTCAATATTACAGGGCTACGTAGTCGAAAGCCCACGCGGTTGTTCAACGACGGTTATATATTGACTTCTAGACTCCTAATCGCAGTTGAAGTGAGTGCTGGCAGTGATGATGGTCGATTTGATGGCTACTTAATCTGTTTTCTAATTCATTCTGAAGGCATAATATGAGATTTAGATTGAGGCTCTGAGAAAAGCCAGTTTATTTTGAAACACCCATTATGTCAAACTACAGCTGCGCAAGTTTCGATGTTAATGACATAGTAATCCTGCTAGAAGAAAAACGGGCTTTTCCCGTAATAATGCCATATTGTTGAGAGAGCTATGGTATGGTCAGATACATCTCAGAGTTCAGATTTTTAATCACGGAATCTGAAGGACCCAGAACAAACCATGAAAAGCATCCCCATATGTTGATACTTTAGGTGAACCTCCGGCTACATTTGTCTACCAGATAGTGTGCAACATATTGGAAAATATAGGAAAATATCTCCCACAATAAATAAATTTAAAGGAATATTCATCAAAACTATTTTACATTTTTTCCTCTTTCGTTCTTTCAGCGTTTTTAATTTTAATTTCACGATTCACAGGTAATTTCATGTTTACTTACCTTCCCTCAACATTTTGCCCCCAAATATTAAAAAGAGGAGTGTAGAAAGTCCATGAACCCATACAGAGGGAATTTTTGAAAATGCCATTCCCAGTCCAACTAAAATAAGAAAAATAAATAACAAAATTAAATTCAGATTAGTGTAATTCAATACTTTATGTGTTATATGCACTCATACTAAATAAGTATTAAAATTATGGGGGAAGCGGCTAAGTAGGTTGTACAGTACACAGAATAAAAAACTCCTTAATAACTTTTGATCTAATGAACGGATTTTTATAATATTATTTTATAACCGTCGTTGAACAGCCGATCCAATTTTTTGGGCTTACGTCTTCCTATGTTCAGCTCCGTAGCCTTGCAATTTTGAATTTTTGATTTCATGGAGAACTTTTTGATGGAACAAACCCGTATTTGCATTACATGGAGAGGAAAACCACGAAAACCTCCCTTGGTTAGCGTAACCGAAAGGGGACTCTAACCCATGATCCGTCTACGACTGAGAATATTTCACGTCAGCACTGTAGTCGGTGCAAGCCAAATGCGGAATTCGTATCGATCAGCCATTGCTGGGATTCGAACCCGGTTCACCTCATTGGAAGGCGAGCGCTCTACCCCCTCCCCACGTACTAAAATGCATCCACAGTTCACGTGCGTGCATTTAGAAAACTGTAAAAGTATTTTCTCAAAGTTTTTTCCAAGTCTGTGGAACTGATAAATCAGATAAATGTCGCTGATTGTATTCAAATTTAAATTATTTTATCAAAACTATATTTCGTTAAGAATTTACAAGATTATTTCATTTTATTGAATATTTTTTTTGCAATAAAATTATTTTGGCAATTTTTAGGTTAAATTTTAGCAGGGTTTTTTTTTCGAAATGGAATTTTTTCTTTTCCATTCTTACAAAAACCGGCATATTAAAAAATCCTGTGAACTTCTGTAGCAATTCGCAACAATCATAATGCCAATAAAAAATAGATAAATCTTTTTCATTCTAATTTAAAAATAGCTGGTGTTGCTGATTTATCTTTACACTTTTTACTCTGGTTTATCTTTATAAAGATTTTCATTCTTTGTTATTGAACTTTAAATACTTTTTCATTTAAGAAAAATTAAAGAAAATTTTGTTGGGAATAAAAATAAAATTTATAGGATGATTTCAACTAGTTTCCTGAAGAATAATTTTTATTCTAGGTCATTAAATTTTAAATATTTTTATAATTTAAGAAAAATTGAAGAAAATGTTATTAGAAATAATCCTTTCTTTTTTTTATCATAGAATGATATCTGCTTTTGTTTCCTTATAAAAAAATTTCTGTACAGGTCATTGAATTTTGAATATTTTTCCCCTTAAGAAAAATTTTGTTGGAAGTAATAAATTTTTTTTTATAGAATGATCTCTGCCTTTGTTTCCTAAACGATTATTTAAAATATAAATTTTTATAAATATTTGTTTTCATATGTTTTCTCTCTTTTTTTTAATTTTTTTTTCTTTTTACCTTAAGAGGTGATTATAATTCTTTTTATCATGGGTATATTAATCGAGAAGTTTTCCCAGGCATCTAGACTCATAAAGTGATAAGACACGCCACTGATTATAAAACTGATTTTTTTTTCTTCAAATTTACAAATGTGTTGCTAAACAAGCTTTTCAAGTCCATCTATATATATATTTCTCTTACACGGCCACAAAAAAAAGCCTCATTACAACTCCCCGAATGGCAACGCTAGAAAATCGACCAATGATCGCTGCTAAAAATGTCACATGCCAAATTTAGCTGAGATGGCTCAACAAATAGCGCTTTTAAAAACGGAAACTGAAATAACCAGGTGAGTAGTCTTTGACGATAGATCTCTATTTTAGTATTTTGTCGAAAGCGCTTTTTCTCACGAATTTACATATTATGAATTTATTTGACGATTTTTGATTTATATCACGAATTTATTTGTTTCACTGGAATTTATTTGTTTATACAGGTTTTTCCATTGCAATTCACTTATTTCAATTTTTAATAGACTTAATTATAGCCAAAATTTTAACCTTTTTATAGAGATATCAGTTTTAGAAATTTTATCTTAAGATTTTATACTATAGCACATTTCTGATAGGTTCAACGAATTACATGTCATCTATTTGAATTCAAATTTATTTTAATGACTTAGTACGTATTTACTAAAAAGATGTAAATTTTTTTTTTTTAAAAATGGATTTGAATGATTGTTTTGGATTCTTAGAATTTTGTGCATTTGCAATGTACCTAAGTTAGTAGCGAGCGAAGCAAACTATATAAGATTGCGTAGCAATTTTCGGGGGTTGGCGAGCGTCAGCGAGCAGGGGGCGCAGCCCACTAGTTAATATTGAATAGTCTAGTAAGTAAAATCTATTAATAATAAAATAATTCGATTTACCAGATAATGCTGTCATCAAAATCAGTGCCGATATAGCTCCTGCGAAAACAAATTTGGCTAAGTGGGAGAGCGACAAAACAACTGCAATAAAGAAAGTTTTGTCTCCAATTTCAGAAACAGCCGTCATGAGGAAGGCACTTACAAATCCTTTCCCTATATCTTCTGTAGAAGTTGATAGCCAATTAGTGCCATTCGTTGATTCATTCTAAAACATTATGCATACTTATAGAAAAGTTAATCACTAAACATAAAAGGAAAGAAAAAGGTTAATTACTAAATTATGTCCCAAGTGATAGATAAATTAATGGTTAGATCCCCAGTAGTGTCGGGTTAACCGTAGAAGGATTTCTAATCTGTGAGTCGAATTTGACTCACTAAAATGTGAGTCAAATTTGCTTAAAGCGTCTGCGCGGAGAAAAATTACTCACGATTTAATCGAATATTCATCATTTTATATTTCATCCTGTAATGATTTCCTTCTTAACCCCCTTCCTTCTCACTCCCATGAAAATGAAGGGGTAAGGTGTCGCCCTCTATTTCTCGCTCCCGTGATATTTCCGGGCTGGAGTGTTTAGTAGTATCGCGCCAATAAGAATAAAACTAATACATTTCTTTTGCTTGGGAAATATTTTATTTCTCATTTTACACACCAGTTGGCAGTATCAGGATATTTTTAACTTAATTGTAGATAGTTAGTTTATTTTAAACTAGATGCCAGCACTAATTAGGGATACAGGGATAAAAAAAAATTGGCACTTTTATGACCGTTTTCTTGAAAATTAACCGCTCGTTAAGGGGTTAAGTAACGCTATTTTTTTCCGTTTTTTTTAATTTTATTTAAAGGTAGTGTAAAGAGTAGTGCAATATTAAAAAAGGTAGTTTGTAGCAATTTCTAGCAACCACTTTTATCGTTAGTTTAGAAAAGAAACACGATTCTAGCGCAAATAATTTTTTTAAATTTCATGGGTTAATTTTTAAATTTGATCTTCACGGATTTTTTTTAATTTGATCTTCTCGGATTTGTCAATGAATGCAATGAAAATGACCCTGTGGCTGCAACTGAGCTTTAATAGAAATTACGTCACGTATAACTTAATATTTAAACTAGCCATTACGATAAACACTTGGGTCACACTTTAATATGCGAATGCATTGACACATTGATGTTATTTCAAAGGAAGGAAAAGTATTTTCGAAGTACCTAATTTCTTAGAGGAAATAAAAGAGCATTAAACAATAAAAAAATTGCAAGTATTTGATAATTTCATATTTATTAAAATTAACTATTCGTTGTCGAAAAAGCCATAAAAAGTTGAAGGTCAAATGAATATATTTTATTTTATTTTATAATCGTCGTTGAGCAGCCGACCCAATTTTATGGGTTTATGACTACTAATGTTCAACTCCGTAGCCTTGTAATTTTGAACCCAATCCAGAAGACAAGGGAACTCCTGGATCAGTACCCCCAGAGGTTTGATTTGTTATGGGAACATGGGGGACTTTGTGACTCGACAGATTTAACGGGCATCACTCACCATTCACTACACGGGGAGTCTTCGGCCGGTTGGGATCGAACCCACGACCTCTNTTCGCCATGTTCAAATGGGTGCACATTAAAGTTATTGTAGCCCGAATTTTTTAATATGCAATTAAATATTTTTAAAAATCTACTTCTTATTTTAATTTGTAATTCAATACTTTTGTTTTGTACAACTTGGTAAAAATCTGACAGTAATATTTAATGTTCCTGCAAACATAAAAGAGTCCTACATAAAATTTTAAAAAAGTTGCGGCCCGCCATTTTATTTGTGTTTTTAATTGTGGCCCCCGGCCTCGAGTAAGTTGGAAACCCCTGTTCTATAGCAATTCGCAACAATTATAATGCCAATGAAAAATAAAAAAATCTTGTTTATCATTCTAATTTAAAACTTGCTGGTGTTGCTGGTTTATTTTTACTCTGGTTTATCTTTACAAAGATTGTTCTTTATCATTCTTCGGGACTGAATTTGAAATAATTTTTCATTTAAGAAAAATTAAAGAAAATTTAGTTGGAAGTAAAAATAATGTTAATAGGATGATTTCTACGTGTTTCCTGATAAATAATGTTTATTCTAGATCTAGGTCATTGAATTTTAAATATTTTCATAATTTAAAAAAAAATGAAGAAAATGTTATTAAAAGTACTCCCTTTTTTGTCATAGAATGATTTCTGCTTTTGTTTCCTTATAAAGAATTTTCAGTTTAGGTCATTGAATTTTGAATATTTTTCCCCTTAAGAAAAATTTTGTTGGAAGTAATAAATTTTTTATTGTAGGATGATTTCTATTTAAAAATCTACTTTCCTGAAAAATAATTTTCATTCTGGAGGACATTTAGTTTTAAATATTTTTTTACCTAAGGAAAATTGAGGAAAAATTTGTTGGAAATAATAATTTTTTTTATTATTAAATGTCCTCTGTCTGTGTTCCTAACTGATTACTTAAAAAAAAAATTTTTATAAATATTTGCTTTCATATGTTTTCTCTCTTTCGAAATTTTTTTTTTACCTTAACAGGTGATTATAATTCCTTTTATCATGGGTATATTAATCGAGAAGTTTTCCCGGGCATCTAGACTCTTTTAGTGATAAGACACACCACTGATTGTAAAACTGATTTTTTTTTCAAATTTACAAATGTATTGCTAAACAAGCTGTTCAAGTCCATTAATATTGAATAGTCTAATAAGTAAAATCTATTAATAATAAAATAATTCGATTTACCTGATAATGCTGTCATCAAAATCAGTGCCGATATAGCTCCAGCGAAAACAAATTTGGCTAAGTGGGAAAGTGACAAAACAACTGCAATAAAGAAAGTTTTGTCGCCAATTTCAGAAACAGCCGTCATAAGGAAGGCACTTACAAATCCTTTTCCTATATCTTCCGTAGAAGTTGATAGCCAATTAGTGCCATTCGTTGATTCATTCTGAAACATTATGCATACTTATAGAAAAGTTAATCACTAAACATAAAAGGAAAGAAAAAGGTTAATTACTAAATTATGTCCCAAGTGATAGATAAATTATTGGTTAGATTCCCAGTAGTGTCGGGCTAACCATAGAAGGATTTCAAATCTGTGAGTCAAATTTGACTCACTAAAATGTGAGTCAAATTTGCTTAAAGCGTCTGATGCGTAGAAGAATTACTCGAATCTCCATCATTTTACATTTCATCCTGTAATGATTTCCTTCTTAAGTAACACTACTTTTTTCCTCTTTTTTTTTAAATGTAGTGTAAAGAGTAGTACAATATAAGAAAAAGTTGTTTGTAGCGATTTTTAGCTACTACTTTTAACGTTAGTTTAGAAGCGATTCTAGCGCAATTAATTTTTCAAATTTGATGGGTACAAATCCTCACGAATTTGACAATGGATGCAATCGGAGCCTGACTAAGGCAGGGGCATACGGGGCAGTTGCCCTGGGCCCCCACATCAGAAGGGGCACCCAAATAGAATAGAAGGTTTATTTTATGTTTTCCTTCTTTAATGAACTTTTTTTTAAACAAAATATCAGTACAGTGTAAAATCCGTCAGTTTTATGTTAGCTTCTTCATCAATCTATCGTATGAACACAAGAAATCTATATTTCGTAAATCCATTGCTTTCTAGGGCGGAATTCTGCTAAATTTTCGAATTACGATGGACAAATTTTTCCAATCAAAAGGTTGTATTTCTACATATTGCAAAATGCGACATGTTTACAAAAATATGGGCTTCTGATTGGCTTAATTGAGCTATCGTAATTGCGAAAATGTAGCTAAATGCCGCACTAATGGCGGCAAGGATATGAATATTTCGCAGCTAATAGTTTTTTCGGGATTTCGGAAAAAAAACTTAAGTTTGAAAAGTAGTGAAGCAGAGGGGGGCCCCCCAAAGAAGATTTTGCCCCGGGCCCCAATAAGTCTAAGTCGGGCCCTGGATGCAATGAAAATGATCCTGTGGCTGTAGCTATACTTTGACAAAAATTACGTCACGTATAACTGATAATTAAACTAGCCATTACGATAAATAGATAATTAATCACTTGGGTTACACTTTCGCATGCGAATGCATTGACTTATTGATGTTATTTTAAGAGAAAGGAACGTATTTTTGATGTACTTAATTTCTTAGAAGAAATAAAAAAGCGTTAAACAATTAAAAAAATTGGCAAGTATTTGATAATTTCGTATTTATTAAATTAAATATTCGTTGTCGAAAAATGCATAAAATGTTGAAGGTTGAATGAACAAATTCGAGAAAAAAATGTTTTAGAATAATTTTTGAAGCACTTAATTTCTTAGAGGAAATAAAAAAGCGTTAAACAATTAAAAAATTGGCAAGTATTTGATAATTTCGTATTGATTATTTTATACATACATTGTCGAAAAAGGCATAAAATGTTGAAGGTTCAATGAACAAATTCGAGAAAAAAATGTTTTAGAATAATTTTTGAAGCACTTAATTTCTTAGAGGAAATAAAAAAGCGTTAAGCAATTAAAAAATTGGCAAGTATTTCATAATTTCGTATTTATTAAGTTAAATATTCGTTGTCGAAAAAGGCTTAAAATGCTGAAGGTTCAATGAACAAATTCGAGAAGAAAAATTTTTGGAATAACAATTTAAACATAAATAAATATTTCTTAATCATTCTCTTACATTTAACGTAAGCCAATTTTCATTCAAAACCATTTTGAACATAGGTGTAAATTAAATTCACCAGCGAAGTTTGTCTCCTTAAAGTAGTGAAGTAGTTACGAAATTACAAAGTTGTTTGCGGTTAACTAAATTTGTAACAAAGTAGTTGTTGTTAACTACATTTGCAATAAAATAGTTGTAGTTGTATGAAAAGCTGACAATCTTAAAAGTGACTTCGTATGAAAGAAGCAAATTACGCAAACATTTATAAAATCTAATAAAAATGGTATCATATAAAAATTTTTAAAAAAAAGAAGAATGGTTGTCATAGTAGCATGACGTCTTTAAACAAAGCATACCTCAAATGTTGACAGTGTTGAGAAGCTCTCATTCATAGATTCTATATCCGTAAATTCCATTAGAGCAGACGAAGTCTTGAAAGAAGAGAAATGGAAGGACAATGACAAATTGAAATAATTTTATTCCCTTTAATGAACCTGTAAAATTATAACATTAATCTTTTAACTACGATTATTGATGCAAATTACTAAATTAATTTTCTTATAATTAAGTAAATATTGCAGGCATCATGTCTTAACTGCTTTGTAACTATAATTAGGTAAATACTAAATAGATAATACCAAGAAACTGAAAGAGCAAGACATTGGCTTCAAAAATATGTGTATTGGATATCACAGTCGACATGCTTCAAGCGCTCAGAAATTGACACATATTTTCAAGAATTGCCAGATGTGAATAAAAAGAAGAGGAAAAAAAGTGACTTGAAATATAAAACGTAAAATTGTAGACAAAAAATGGAAAATAATGAAGAGAAATAAAACTAGAGAAACCTTAGCAGTCGAAAGTGAATAAAAACAATAATAATAATAAAGCAGAACACGAAAAACTACAGTGGCTGAGAGTGTAATAGACAAATATTAGTGGATGAAAGCCAGGCATCTTTAAAAATATTTATATTTTCAAATTTTTTCCCACAGTAAAATTAACTCATATTGAATCTCATATCTTTTTTTTCGAAAGCAGCGTGTAATTATTTTCCTGTAAACAAATTAACAAATAACTGTACTCATCTCCGTTGCTGTTGTTGACGTCGGTCATTAAGGCAGGAAGATGCGATTGTTCTTTTTTTCCAGTGGCGCCATCTGTGACCAAGAATTCGACTTCTGCCACACACTTACGTCACACCCGTTTATAGGGCAGACACATTCATACACCCATTCATTCGTCCACAGATCGTAATTTTGACCTGAACCAGAGAACGAGCAATCTCCCATTCAGTACTCCCAGAGGTAATGATTTGTTATGGGAACATAGAGGACTTTGTTACCCGACAGATTTAACGTGCACCAGTCACCATTTACTACACGGGGAGACTTCGGCCAGCAGGATTCGAACTCCCATTCTGACAAACGTGAGTTTAGCAATCTGCAAATTAGGCTATTCCTGCCATATTATCTGCTTTAACATAGGTTTTTAAAATCGACGTCAAATTAGAAGTTAAAAAAAACTTACTTATAAAACGACGAAAATAGCATTGAAAAAAAAAATCTTTCGAATCATCATCGAAGTCAATCAGTACAAATGTGGTGAGAATAATGAAAAACCAATTTACTTGTCGAATGAAACTGAAAATCACTCACATTTCATTTATCCCCGATAAATAAAATGTTTTTTTTTTTACTGATCCTAAACCGTATTTTTAATCTGATTGATAACGATAATGATTCTTCAGATTTTAATAACGTGTGAGATTTTTAATTACTTAAATAATATGTTTGCTGCTTACTTAACTTCCAATTTAACAGATAATCTAAAAGCATATATCAAGAAAGGTGATTTAAGAACATTCTCTTTATTTTATGCATTTATTTCCACGGTTGAGCTTTCAAATAAGAATTGAACTAATGAAAGGTAACAAGGGATAAACCATTTCACCAGAAGCAAGAATGACATCCCTTACGAGGGAGGGGTTTATTCTACGTAGATGTATCTTAACGATCACGCCTAATATATAATTTAAGAATCATCTGATAAAATAAAGGTCTGATAAAAAATGCAAATTAAGTGCTGAAAAGAAATACTCAAGTGCGGCGAAAGTGAAACGTTATCCAAATCCGACGAATCATTTACGATGAAGGTGAAATTTAAAATATCATAATCTGTTTTCCCAAAGAAATTAAAAGCAGTTACTAGAAATACCTTTCAGTTGTCTACAACGATTAAATTCGTTTTGACAATCTTTAATCCTACCTCTCTCAATACTGATTACACTAAACACTGAATGTAGTACAGATGATATTGTGAACTTATAGTCTAAAAACTTATAATGGCTAGCTGATCAGAAAATATAATAAATAAATAAACTAAATTAGTACCTAAAAATAGAAGCACAATTATTATAAATTGTTTTTCCTAAAAACTATAGGGTGTATAAGTTTAGATTTATAGTTATGTATATGCTAAAGGTTTTTAGCTAAAATAAAATTTAAAGTTTATAGCATAAATCATCTTAGGAATGTAATAAGTATATAACATTGTAACGCTTGAATTATACTTTATAAATCATAAACAAATATTTTATTTAGTTATACACACATTAGAAAGATAATATAAAAGACAAGTTTTCGTGAATAAACATCCCATATTTTTTTTAATTTTGAATCTAAAGCATTATTGTAGTAAGGTTCTCACAAAATCGAAAAATATACTCACCCACAGTTACCGTGAAAAATAAAAAAGTTACAGAAAACTCTAAACGCAAAAGCGTTTCTATAACATGTATGAAAGAATAATTCACTAAATCAATCACTATCAGTAGAAGTACAATAGATGAGACATTTTAATAGGTTGGTTGATTAAACTACAGATATTTTGAATTAATCATGATTTAATGGCTAATAAATTCTTCATCAAATCAAATAAAAATCGAAAACTCCATTGATATTTATTCTAAAATGTAAAAACAATCGTCTGCTTGTATAAATTTTGTAAAGTCATTCTGTAGAAGTAAAAACGATATTAGATTTCACGATTATTACTTCTATGCCATTTATTCATTGTCTTTTGCAGAAATAAAATCGTTTGCCACTTTCGAAATTAACAGTAATCTTCTCTTTAAAAATAGTAAACGGAAATAAGATCGTGCTCTCTAAAACTTTCAGCGGTAAAGAATATTACGATACTAATTTCGTATTTTTAAATTTTGATGGTCAATGTATATGTCCTATAGTAGAATAATTTTACGGTGCGTTTTTCAAACAATAAAATTGTTCCGATCTTTGGAACTCATTAACATAAGATGAACATCTAGTCATTTTTATTAATAATCTGTAAGTAATTTTTCGTATTTTATAAATGCAAATTAATGAATAGTTTGTTTAAAATAATTCATATGATTGAATGCATTTGTGAAAAATTCTATATAAAAAATAAATAAGTATGATAATCGTTATTAAATTTGCTTTAAAAATAATTTTACTGATTTAAATTTTTATTTATTTATTTATTTTGTTATGAGAAGAAGGATTAATTTTTATTACTCAGTTGTATAAATCCTACCATTATCATATTAGTGGTATCCTGTTAAACTATTTTGGACGATTTTTATTATCATTAATTATGTTTAAATTAAATTTAATTATCTTTAAATTATTTTACTATCTTTAAAATTTTCCTTTATTTTATAAGTGTTAATTTTAAGTATAAAATGAAATTTAAACTTTGTTTAAAAAGACTAAATTACATTTTTGAAATAATCGATAAAATAAATATAATGTTCATTAACATGGAACATTATATTTTTTTTATTTTGCGTAAGAACTTATTTATTAGATTCAAAGTTTGTCTTTTTTTAAATCAGTGAAGAAAGTTTTATTGACTTAATTATGCAGACTATCACATTAGATGATTTTTTTACCACGTTTATATCAACTTGCCTTCGTCTATTCGGGTGGAATTTTTTTAATCGATTTTAAACTAACTTCCCGACTAGCTATAGACTTCAAATTTGGCAAATAGTTCAGAATTGGATAACAATGCATGAAAATGAAGAGAAAAAAGACATACAAAGTAAAATAAAATTGAAATTAAAGAAAAATTAATATTTTCGCGATTGTCTTTTGTTGTCGATTCGATTATTTCAAATTAGTGTCACATGTCAGTTGAAAAGTTTTGTGTACAGTGAGTGAAAAAATTGAGATTTTGGAAGTGGGAACAAAAAAAAATAAAAATAATATTTTTAAAAACCATGTTTTTGTAGTGGAGAATAATAATTAAAAAA